CTGTGTCTGGTTCCAAAACCCAGTGCCCCTAATCTTCCCACCGGCTGGTTTTCCAGAACGACCAAGGGTCAACGTTAGAGTCGGAAAGGTGACCTGGCATCGAGCCCTTCACTTCTCCTGGAGCCTCTTTTTCATGCCTGAGCCCTTCAGAAGCATCTTGTCAACCGAAGCACTCGCCCCCCACTTGCACTCCTCTGGTGATGGGGCGCTCACTCCCTGCTGAGGCAGCCTCCCCAACCTGGACAGCTCTAATGAGCGGTGAAAGTCCTGCTTCCTGCAGGCAAATGGATTGATCTCAAATTCAAATTCAGTCCCGAGTAGACTCCTCCTTGATTGTCACTTCCAGGGGAGGAATCTCTGACAAGTTCCCGTTGCTCTGAGAGGTAAAATAGTCATAACTTTGCCTCCTTCGAAACTGCCAACAGCGCCAAGAGAATCAAGACTGAAGACTGAAATTGCTTTTCTCTCTCCTCCCCGACGCAGTCAGCAGGGAGCAGCGGTTCTGCGGGCTCTTCGGGCTCTTCGGTCGGGGCTAAATTTATATTCACTCAGGTGTCGCCGGCCTGTGCTTTCTCGCGTTCTCTCTGATCAATGCGCTCATTAGAGCGCCCAGGCTTGGCGATAGATTCACCTCAATGCGTGTCCCCTCAGGCTTCAATAGCAGGGCTCCGAGACGCTAACGAGCTGCAGAGAAATGAAAAGCAGAGACTCCCTCTTTCCTTCCAGGGTCCTGCACGCGTTCCTCCCGCCCTTTAGAAATGGCTGGCTGGGCTGTACTCGCTTTATTTAGGAGCGCTGAGGGGCACATCAAGGAAGGAGGAGGTTGGGACAATATTTGCAGGGGGCAGACGTGTGCAGGGGGGCCCTTGTTCATTTGTTCCAAAGCAGGGGACCCTCGAGCGACACTTAGGTCTGTTTTTCGTAGCTTGAAGATTTGTTTGGACACTTGCAACCAGAGCGTGCCTGTGTGACTTTTCCCTAATGAGTTTCCTTTTGCAGTCCCTTCCTAGCGTCTGCACACATGCTTGTGGATTGTCACAGTTCCAGCTGGAACCGGACAGTCAATGGACTATGCAACCGAACAATCAATGGGGTCCGGCTGCCTGTCACTACTTGAGCCAACAAAGCAGAGACAGGGTTGCATCACACATGAGCGTTTAGTCCAGTCCTGCCGGCAGCGTGGGAGCAGTGGGTCATCCACAGAAATCTGCTCTGCACCCCCACAAGTCAGCTGCTTATATTGCGTAGAAGGATGAAGATTACCTGGGAAGTAGGCAAAGGGCGTGCCAAATGGGCAGGTAACAGGTCTGCAGATTTACAAAGGCCTGCGGGTGTGCAAAGGCTAGGGGTCCTCAAAGGGCTGGCGGCCCTGGTTTCTGCAACAAGGTTGGTCATCTGTCCGTGATCACAGGCAGCTCCCTGATGGGGAGGGGGCGCCGCACTTCCAGGTGAGCTCCCAGGTCCCGCATGCAACTCCCAGCCAGGTTAGGATGCGTCTTCTTTACTCAGAACAAAACAGTCACAGTTAGCAGAGCATGGTGAACATTTCTCACAGTTCTAGCTGGCCCCACCATTCTCTTCCTGCCCCTGCCACAACCACAATATGTGTGTCAGGTTCCAACTGTTGTCTGCACTGAACAATCTATCATGTGTCTTTATATGTTGTTCCACTTCTGTACTCACATCTTGTTACGAAATACTCTATGACCTAGGGGTTCTTAACCACACCCATTAGATTATTTTTTCTTCACTCCCCGCCACCCCCATAACCGACTCCGTGCATTTTGCTATTTTCTTTCGTGAAGCTCGTTCTTCAGCTTTGAGCCCCCTGGGTCTGTTCGCTGGTTCAAAGTTCATGAACAGCCCGATCAGTTGCTGTCTACACTGTGTGTGCAAGTCTTAAAAAGCAGAGTTTAGCCACTTACCACACACCGGCGCAAAATATGCACCAATTTCACTGCCACCGTACTAACACCAAACGCGGAATATTCCATACCTCACTAGAGCTTTACCCAGTGGCCTTTACGTGTGTACAGTTATTTGTTTTTACAGCCAAATGCTATCACCCTTCAGAGCCTTCAGCACCTACGGCTAGTGTGGGTGCCAGCTGTATTATTTGAAATCAAGCCACTGCCATGATCTGCGCTGCGGACTGGATGCCGCGCTGCGTATACTAGGTCGTGGCTGTGCGCTCATCTCTGCTTTTGCCATGAGCAGTCAGGATGGGGAACGGCTCTTTCACGCAGAAATTGCACGTTTGCCCTGGGGTGGCCGCCGTGTTAGCAGCTGCAGCGGTCATGCTTGTTGGAGGCGGGGAAACGGAGGCACCAGCTGGCGGGCTGTCTTTTACTTCGTGGGGAGCTGGTCCAGGGCTGCTTGCCCCCGACGTGCAGGGCCTGCTCTGTTTTCTTCGCCGAAAGTGTAATTGTCCGCAATTCAATGGCCAGGCTGGGCGTGGGCCGTGTTCTCCTGCGACCGCTGCAGGCATCGTGTTTCAGCAAAGAAGGGAGCGGGGCTGAATCAGCTTCTCAGGCACACAGGCGGGGAAGTCGTCTGTGAACTCTGGATGCTGTGAACAGTGCCTCTCACTGGCCTCCCCCCGCGCCTACGTGCGGTCGGAATAATAGCCGGGTGCACCGTGTGTCCCGGCTCAGCTCAATGCCGCGGCCTCACAGGTCCTTTCTCAGTGCCCTGCCGCCCCACTCCCTCCCGAGGCAGCTGAAGGCCACGGAGTGTCAGGAGCTCATCGAAGGCCACGCTCGCAGCACGTGGTGGAGCGGAAGCCCAGTCCCCGTCTCTCTAATTGCCCAGCCGGTCACCTACCTGCAGCCCCGCACGTGGCCTGGGAGCCAAGCCCAGCAGGGGCACCTCATGCAGGCTGTCGCTGCCCAGCAGGAGAAGCTGGGCTGAGAGCTGGAGTTCCTGGCCCCGGTCCCAGAGTGACAGGCTCCCCACACCTTCCCTCCAGAGGCCAAATGTTATCACACACCCCACCCGCCCCCACCAGGGGCGCAGCTTAATCCCCCCGCCTCTTTGATTGTGGGCTAGACTTCGGCACTTGTTTCCCAAGAATACGGAATAGAAAATACTGGGAAAACCTGGCCACGCCACCTCCACCGCGTGATCAATGTCCTTTCCCCGGGTGACAGCTTAGGTCAGCGATTCCCTTCTCCATCTCCTGGCCACATGATTACTGAGATTCTGTGGTGCATCAAAAACTTTTTGCTGATCTGACTAAAAAAATGGGTATAATTTTGATTCATTCACACGAGGTGGCTACTGTGTTGGCTGTTGTCATTTTTTTTGACAGCCTAAGGGAAGAGGTCAGTGCCCTCGACTAAGCAGTCAGGTACTGCATGTTCTAACGATTCTTGAGGCACACCCATTGAACATCGCTGGACTAAGATGATATGAAAATACACTTCCTAATATCACGCAGCCAGAAGCACACTTCACCTCCGTGATGCCGTCTCAAAAACCTATAACTCCAACCGAATCAGACAGATCTACATGGAGAGGCAGCCCAGCCAGCGTGGCTCAGTGATTGAGCATCAACCTAGGAACCAGGAGGTCAGGGCACAGGCCCAGTTTGCGGGCTCGATCCCCAGTAGGGGGCGTGCAGGAGGCAGCCGATCCATGATTCTCTCTCATCATTGATGTTTCTATCCCTCTCGCTCGCTCTCTCTGAAATCCATAAAAATTTTTTAAAAAATAAGTAAATAAATGGACAAGCCGCCTGCAGAATGCAAGCCCAGCCTTCTTCCAGGCCGTCCTGAGCATGAACGAAGCGGCTTAGGAAATGGTCACAGGTCGGAAGAGACCAGAGACCCGACAACTGACGGCTGATTTCCACGTGGAAGCCAGCGCCAGGCAGATCTGCCCCTCCCCCGTCTCACCCACAGGCACCCAGCTCAGAGCCAGGGCTGCCAATCATCCAGGCTTTCCAGGGAGACAGAGCTGTATAAAAATCCTGGCACATATATTTTTATTGCAAGTTGGGTGCATAAAACGAGCCTCGTGGCAGCGCCTCGCAGCAGCCAGCACCGCCAGCCACTCCGACGCATTCTCAGCCTCACTGTAGGTTCCAGCTGCAGCAGGTGCGGACGTTTTGGAGGCTGTGGCGCGCCTGCGCCAGCAGAACCTGGCCTTGACCGTGCACAGTGCCCACACCCAGAAGGTGCCCTGTCCCGCAGCGACACCCTCTCGGCCTGTGGACAAGCATAGCTCAGACTTGGAGCTGTGCCAGTCAGAATAGATTAGTCCTGCCCTGGCTGGTTTGGCTCAGTGGATAGAGTGTCGGCCTGGGGACTGAAGGGTCCCGGGTTCGATTCCAGTCAAGGGTATGTACCTAGGTTGGGTGTGTCGAAGGCAACCAATCAATGTGTCTCTCTCTCGCATCAATGTTTCTCTCTCTCCCTCTCTCTCTCTCTCTCCCTCCCTCTCTCCCCTCCCCCCCACCACCACTCTCTCTCTAAAAACCAACGGAAAAATATCCTCAGGTTAGATTAAAAAAAAAATAGACTAGTCCTATTGGACTAACAATGCAAACTCTTAGGGGCTTCACAATGCGAAGCTTACTCCTCTCGTGCACCAGGTACATGGTTTGGGGGGGCGGGGGTGGTGGGGGTGCTCGGCCAGGAGCTGTGTTTCACACTGTCTTCCCCTCAGGGAGGCAGAGGGGACGGCCACCCTGATTCATGACCAGTGATTGGCGGGAGGAAGGAAGCAGGAGGGGTTGCTCGCTGGCGCTGGCGTGTGAGGCTCCCACCCAGAGGTAACATTGTCGCTTTCGCTCCGTTATTGGCCAAAGCCAGTCACGTGGACACACCTAGCGAAGTCAGCCCTGCAATCTTGCCGGAGGGCAGGGAGCTGAAAATAATTTGCGAAGAGTGCTAATTACTACAAAACACATTTACTAACCTCCCTTCCAGGCCTGGGAATAGCAGCTCTGGAACTGTTCCCAGAGCACAGCAAACGCAGAACAGACCCAGAGGCTTGGCTGGAAATACGCGAAGGAGAGTGATTCCAGGGTCTTTCACTCTGAAGGAGAAGTGAAGAGTTCTTGTAGTAGAAGGTGCATCCTCGAGTAGAAGGTGTGGCTAGCCCTGCGATTGGTCCCAGGAGGGCTGTCGGTCAGAGGCCAGGGGGTCTGGATAAGGGATGTTGGGGTCTCCATCATGAGACCTTTAGGGGGTGAGCAGAGGCTGATAGGAGGCCTGATGCATATCCAGGCCTGGATGCAGGACTGGAAAGCTCGGAAGGTTTAACTCCCCAGGCTGGCTAGAATGAGAAAAGGGTCTTTCCTCATGCCTCAGCCTTCATCATGCTAATCATTTTAGCGGCTTGGTTTACACGACTCCGTTTTATAGATTCCCTGCCTTTCCTGCTCTTCCCTCAGGGTGCTAAATGAACATGAATGGCATGAGGGATTTTTTGCTATTTTCAGGTATAATAAATATTATGAACATTTTGGTATCTTGTGGTCTGGTCTTTATTACCTTGTTAGTATTTTATTAATATAGGTATATGCATTTTAAACACTTAGTTTTTTAGTTATAGATATATATGTGTGTATACATAAATATAAAGATTATTTTATTTGATCTTTTTAATTGATATATTGAGGGAAAACAAATTTTGCCACACCAAAATATGCCTTTTGGGGATATTGATGATATTAAGCTGTTTATTTTTAAAAAACAAAAGACTAAGTGAGAATCTTTGGCCCGCCCTTTCCCTGCCTAATGGAATTTAGTTGGAAAAACCTGCTTCTAGATGCTGTCCTCTTAGCATAATATGAGCCCAGTGAGGCAGGCAGGGAGGAGCCACGCACAGTCCGCCTGCTGGACGCCCCTCTGCGTCCCATCGTTTCTGGGTGGCCAGCGGGAATGCGTGTGCCCCGTGTCTGCTCTTTCTTACCCCCCTGGAGTTGCCTACTCTCACTCTGAAGTGCCCCACCCTCGCCTCCTTCTTACGCCAGAATGCACTTAAGCCTCAACTGCTCCGTGTGTCTTGGGTCCCACATGCTTATGGACACCCCGTATGTACAGACATAATAAAAGCGGTCATTTTCTCCAGTAAATCTGTCTCCCATCGATTTGATTAAATTAGATTGTATTCCCAAGCCTCCCAGGACTATAAAGTCTCTTTGGCCCAATTAATCTTCCAGGAGGTCACTGGGGCATAATTCTCACCCCTCGGGAACGGGGGCTCACTCACCTGTGATCGGGTACAGGCAGTGGAAGGCTTGCCCCCTCCCTGTACCCCATGGCAACTGTAGGCCGACCCAGGGGCTGCAGGTTGTGCATAACAGGAGGTGGACCTGGAGCCCCTGGTATGGGAAGGGGAACAACAGCTGGCGTCTGAAAACTGAAACTAGAACTCACCCAGGCCCCCGCCCTTGGCCCACCCTGAATGGACAAGCCCTTCCTCCTACGTGTTCCAGAAAGATAGGGGTGGCACTGGGAGTCTTCACGCAATCCCTACGGACAACCAGCGCCCTTTGGCTGTTGTTCCAAAGACACACCTGGCACCCTCATTAGCTTCTTGTTCTAGCTTTTGCCCCAGTAACGTTAAGATTTATAACACAATTTTCCTCCAACAGGTTACAAGCCCTATTTCTAGTCTAAGCATATGCACTACCGCCCTGCTGACTTAGACCCCATCTCAACCTCCTCGCCTGGGCCTTATCTCCCTTCTGACAGAGCAAGCTCTCTGGGCTGACAGGAAACGTTGCCCCCTTTCAGCGGGAGACGGCTACAGAAGGGACCCTGCCCCCTCTTCCGTTAAAGAATTCAGCGCGGGGGGGGGGCGGTTAGGGGGGGTGGTAGGTAGGTAAACAGGCGTGCGCAGAGCAGGAGCAATGGGCCAGGTGCAGGGGATCGCCAGGTGGAGACCCCTGGGTGCCTAGCAACGGGCAAAACTCTGGGCCCGTGTCGGACACTCCTCAGACTTTCAACCCTGGAGACCGCGTAGGCCTCAGCTGTGTTTCGGCTCCAGCCCAGAGAAGCAGCTCAATCAGATGTAGAGACCGTGGCCGCCCTCAGGGCCAGCTGCATTCACTCGTGACCCCTGGCGCTGACCCATCAGTGGAGAGCACGAGGGGCACACCTGGAAGGCGGGTGAACGTTCCACTGGGATCGCCCCTGAGGCCTCCAATAAAAGCCCTCGGATGGAGGGCTCCCTCGGCTCTGTCCATGGAGCAGGCCCGTGCCTTTCCCACGGCCACTTTCTCCAGGGCGTCCTCTCTCTCTCCATCTTTGGTCCCTCAAGGTGTGTCTTCTCTCTCCTCCCCTCCCCTAAGCTCCAAGGCCCGTCTTTAGCTATAAGTTGTTTCCTGAACCCATTTCTTCTAGGGCTCAGGTCTACCTGTGACTTTCTAAGTAAACTTTCCTTCCTGATTCGAAAAAAAAGTTCAGCCAGAAAATGAGAAGAATGAGGGTAGCAGGAGAGTGACTTTTCCTCCCCAGCTGGGAAGGTCTCATCTTTTAGCGGAAAGACCTCTGTCTCTGGGCTTGGGGCTTCTCCCCGTAAACCCCCGAGCTCTGTAATCATACGTCTGCATCTCGCGAGTAAGCGTGTGACCCATTCTTTGGTGTTTGGAAAAGACCACGGTGTTTTCCGTCACAGAAACTCCCGGGGAAGTGTCTGGGGTGGATGCAGGAAGGGGTCATAGGGCTGAGTCCTGCTCCCCCCACCAGGCAGGCCTGTGGCATTGGCTCTCACAGAAAAGAGGAAAAAATCATCCCTGCAGCGAATATCCGCTTAGCGCCCATTGTGGCCTGCGGGCTGGAGAGGGGTCTGACTGTGGGCATCGCTTCTAAAGGGCAAAGTGAAGACAGAGAGGGAAACACAGACAGGAAGTAGCGGAGAAGGTCAGCATCCGCCGGGGGTGGGGAAGGGATCGGTGAGGCTCCTCGCCGTTCCTCCTGCTTTCTGGGCGCAAACCTGAAAAGCCAGGCCGCCCGGGCCGCGGGCTCCGCAGTCACGGGAGACCAGAGCTGTTCTGGGACACACCTGGCCCTTCGCGCTCTTAACCAGGCTCAGGCCAGGTGGGCGGCCTGCACGCACGGAGGCCAGGGCCACAGGGGCCGTGGCGCTGGTGGTGGGGCTGGGGGACTCGGCCCAGGTGGCCTCCCTGGAAGCCCGCCCAGACATCGCCCCTCACCACCCACTAGAATCACCTTCCCACCCTGCTCCTCCTCTCTCCACCCTGACCCTGACCCTGACATGCCCCCTACACACCCCCCCTCAGGGTTGGCTCCTTCTCCACCCTACATGACCCCGACATGCCCCTCTCAGGGTCGCCGCCTCCTACCTGCACCTTGACCTCTACATGCCCCTCTCAGGATGGGCCGCTGGTGACGGGGCCCAGCCAGGTTTAGAGCAGGAAGGACCGTCGGGGCAGGAGAGAAGGCCTCTGCGTGTCTTCCTCCTGCTCAGTACCCACGTGCACCTCTAACTACCCCAGCAGGAGTCACCTGGAGCACGGGCTCATTTACTCACGGCTTCCAGCTGGCGCTGCCCCATTTCCCCCATATTCCTAATTAGGGGAGGTCACCCGCCTCCGAATGCTGTGCTCCGGAGGGAAGATACCAAGCACCCGGCCGCCCTGGCTTTGTGGGCACCGTCCCTGCGTCTCCGAGGCTGTGCCCTCAGTTGTGACCTGGGAGACGGGAAGGGCGGATTAAAGGCTGGCCACGGGCTGCCTGGCTCTATTTAAATGACACCCTTTTGCTAAATGCCGCGATGGGGCATTTTATGTCAGTGTGGGGCACGTTATAAAAATCTAACACTATCTTCCTAGGCCAGTGATGGCGAACCTTTTGAGCTCGGCGTGTCAGCATTTTGAAAAACCCTAACTTAACTCTGGTGCTGTGTCACACATAGAAATTTTTTTGATATTTGCAACCATAGTAAAACAAAGACATATTTTTGATATTTATTTTCTATATTTAAATGCCATTTAACAAAGAAAAATCAACCAAAAAAATGAGTTCGCGTATCACCTCTGACACGCGTGTCAGGTTCGCCATCACTGGCCTAGGCTATGGTGTGTCCCTCATTTCGAACATCCTCCTGTGACCTCCCAGGATGTAAGATGCGTAGTCGATATTCTTAATAGTCAAACTGTCATGGGGTGCAAATGGCAAGCATCCTGGCTGACTCTGTTGACCGCCCTTCCCTGTTGGCTTTCACTCACACTGACAGTTAACAGGGTTTTTTTTAACACTTGCTCAGCACCAGGCATTGTTCTAACAGGTGACACTTTCCAAACACCCTCATCATAACCTGGCGAATCGGTGCTGTTACCAGTGTCCCATTTCACAGACGAGTCCACTGAGGCACAGCAGAGCAAGCACCACCCTCTGTCCCGAAGCTTCATGCCTCCTCCTTTCTCCCAAAGGCCAACCCCTGTCTCTCCTCTCAGCATTGCCCAGCGCCTCTATTTCGAGGCAGCTGCTATCTCTGTACAATTAGAGTCTTGCCTTTTCCCCCAAAACAAAAGCCCGAGGTTGGGGGGTAGGAAGATATGTACCCTTCTCCGTATGCATATAGAGTGGGGGCGGGGTCAGGCCCAGAGGGGACCAGCGACCCTGCCAGTAAGAGGGGTGATTGGAAGTGGGGTGTGCACTGTGCCCCCTTCCTCATCGTCACCCACGAACACCCCCGCGTCCCCCGCGCAGCAGCCTGTGCCACGGCGAGAGCTCCCTTCTCCCCCTGCAGACCTTTTCCAATTTCACTTCGTGAAGCTTTCATTTCAGCAATAAGTCTCCCCAGTGGCTGATGCCCCAGGAGCGTTTTCAAAGAAATGAAATCCGTGCTCACCAGGCTGAGAGACAGAGACGTCCTTTAGATTACAGACAAGAGGAGGCCCCAGCCATCCCATCCCCCCGAGTACATGCCCGCTGGCTCCCGTGCCAGCCTCCCGGGCGGGGGTCTGCAGGGTAGGTGGAGGGCCGGAGAAGGGCTGATCCCCGGCTCCTGGCTGGCCTCCCCCCATGTTTTGTGGGTGCCCACCCGGCCCTCCATAGAGCATGTCTGGTGGGAGGAGCTTCTCCCCTGAGCCCCATCTCCTCGCCCTGCAGAGGTGCCAATCACACCTGGCCCGCGGGTGCTCGCCACCACAGAGCCAGGAGCCCAGGGGGTTCTGGGAATGACCGCTGGATGCGGTGGAAACGGAACTTGAGAATCAACGCGTTCACTCAGTGAGCACGGGTGGGGCAGGCCCTAGGCCCAGTGGGGTGGTTTAGCTGCAGCCACGAAAACTCCATCCCTCCACTCAGAGTTTGCAGAATATACACAAACAGGCCTGGAGCTAGTCCCAGCTCAGACCCGGGCAGACTGGTCTTGTTGCTGCAGGCACAGCCCCCCTACTCTGGTTGCGGTGGCTGCAGGGCACCTTGGGAGACCCCACCGACGTGGTGAGGACTGTGGTAAAGGGTCCTGCTGACGGGAGACGCTTAGACAAATGGCAGAATGCATACCATCATGCAATCGTAATAATCCCTATTTATAGAGCCCCTGCCGTGTGCCGCCGCCCACCTGCCTGTTAGCTCTATTCACCCCAATGGCCCTCTGGTGCTTTCCGTTGCAGGGATGGAGAAACAGAGCCCTTTTGCCCAGCAACTGCAAAGGTGGCTGGACCCAGTGCCCCTGAAGTTCATGTTGGCCCCTTTCCCCAGCGAAGAAGTTGAAGTGGCCCGTTTATAGTCACACCAGAGCTAGTCAGCAATGGAACCTGTCTACTAGGTCCTGCTGCCTTCTCAGCAGCAAACTCAAGCCCAGGATGTAGTACCAGGACCCCAACGCCTGGGGCAGCCACACCTCCCCCAGCCCAGCGCTCGGAGGAGAGATTTACCCTCAGAAGCCGGCAAAGATGCGGGGGACCTCTGTAGATGCCAGTGAGTCCTGGTCTTGCTGCAGGAAGAGGGACCCGGGAGCAGAGACACTGGGGTGCATGGGAATGCAGAGGAAGCTCCCAGGACTGAGGAGACTCCCCAGAGGCAGGCAGGGATCAAATTGTGTTTGACCTTGAAGGCAGGCCCAGGAATGCAGGCTCCCTATCCTCCTCCATGTGCGGGCATGTGGATCCTGTGGAGTGAGGCCTGGCAGGGCTGGGTCTGTGGGCTGGAAGGAGCTCTGTGCTGGATCTCTGGAGGACAGACAGACAGACGGGCTGGATTTACACAGGGAAAGATCAGTGGCCCCATTGGAAGGGATGGGGAGCCATAAAGAATATTTAAATGTGGCCTGCTGCCATATGTGCACTCACTGCACTTATCATTCACCTGTTTTGTTCATGGATGTATCCCCAGGCCCTGAAATGGTGCCTGGGACTGGTACCCCTAAT